CAATGAAGGGGTGACACTCTAAAATATCAAGAGTGCAAAATAGACCCCCCACAGACACACGTACAATATATGAACTAGTGTGACTGTAACACAAAGCATGTTTTTGCACAAAAACAGACACACAGGCACGCACACACACACACACACAAATGATCTTGAGTGGCTGTAACAATATGGCAAAATTAAGCCAGAACACTCAAATAAGAGGTTGAAATCAGATTGAGTAACCTATGACAAAGCATCCTTGATTTTTTAAAACTTTGATGTTATGCGTAATAAAATGTCTTTCTCTCTGTTCAGGTTTGACTGTAGTAAAATTAATACAAAACTGATATTTCAAACCTTCAAACCAAAAAATCTAAACCTTTACAAAAAGTTGTTTGAGAATGTTTAAATGTATTTCCAGATCCACAAAAAACAAAAAACAAACAAACTGTCTAAAAACAAATAGCAAATCTAGTGGCTAAACCATGGAATTGCAGAGGCTTTTCTTATTTTACTCCGACCAGATGGTACTAATCTGACTTCAAAAATTGGATTTTAAAGGCATTATCTCTATTTTAACATGAAATACTGCCAGTACAATTAAATGATCTCAAAATAAAAAATATTATTGAACAAAAATATATTACATTGATTTTACTGAAAAAAAAAAAAGTTACGTTTCAGGTGTCCGTTTACTTTTGACCGCGAACAACACAAGTGTGACTCCCAAATGAACAATACCAGAGGCTTAAGTGATTACACACTTTTGCAATTCATTAACCTTTAACTGCTATTTTAACCCTTATGATCTGCAAATTACTTCAGCCATATCATGACACTCCTGTCAATCATTCACGTCTACACCCACAAAGTGATTTGTAAAAGCTGTAAAATGTTTCTCAGAGTCCAAAACACTACATCATCTTCTTCTTCTTAAAAAGAAAGAAAGAAAGAAAGTGGAAAAAATCATAATGAGAGCATCAGTCATTAGGAAAGGCTACTAGATTGTGTTTTGTCTCTATAGTAGGTGCTCTTACTTACTGGAATGTTTTCATACACAGAAGAGTTCAGTTCAGGTTTACAGGTATTAGAGCCGTGTTGAGCAGCCTTTATGAATGAAGAGACAAAGTATATTCAGCACTGTGTTATTTAAATTTTCATATAATTATTGGTTAGACATTTGACATTTTTACACTGACATTGAAGAGTGTTTTTCGCCAAAGGTGAGGAGAGTTTAGTGTTTTATAGGAAATCTGTAGCAAAAATACTTACAGTTACATTCTCATACACAGCATCAGTCATTTCAACATCGCACGCTTTGTGTTGGCCATTATGATTCATCTTTGCCATTAAAAAAACAAAAACAAAGAATAGAGAGAAAATAAGTAATGTCTATAAACAACTCAATAGATAAAAAGTCAACTACATTCAGACTTTCAATCCTTGAGTGACCAGTTCATTTACCTGATCAGTAAACTACTGATAGCAAAATATTTTTTTCTCACCTGAGCATTTTGTGCACCATTTCTGTTTTTAATCCATCTGCAAAGACCAACACAATTACAGCCAATCAGGACTTGTATGAAGCTATGATTTTGAACCAATGACATTTCTTTATAGGATGGGCCGTTTTGAATATGATCCATTTTGGTACAGTTTACTCGCATTGCATTTACCATGCTATGGGGAAAATCTGTTTTCTCAGAATAATGGAGCCTG